TTGTTGAATACTTCAATTGGGTAACAGAATCACAGGCTTTCAGAGAAGTGGGGCTCAAATATAATTTTTATTTATAGGAATTTCCTCTGCAGTTGAACAGGGAGACAATTGAAAATACATTAAAGGAATATCTTTAAGTAATTGACCAAGTATATCTTTCTTTGTGAAGGTAAAATCTTTGGCTAAAGCAACTGCTCAAACAGCTTTAACAAGAACGTTGTTAAGAATATTATCTACGAAAATAAGAATTCCTGATTTCTGATCTTCCAGATTGGCTGAAGAATTACCTAGAGGCCTTATTAAAAATATTAATTCAGGGGCCTGCCTGGTGGTGTAGTGGTTAAGTTTGCATGCTCCGCTTCGGCAGCCCGGGGTTCATGGGTTCAGATCCTGGGCGTGGACCTAGCACTGCTGGGCAAGCCACACTGTGGCAGCATCCCACATAAAATAGAGGAAGATTGGCACAGATGTTAGCTCAGTGACAATCTTCCTCCGGCAAAAAGAGGAAGATTGGCAACAAATGTTAGCTCAGGGACAATCTTCCTCACAAAATTAAAATTAACTTAGGGGCCAGCCCTGTGGCCTGGTGGTTAAGTTCAGCATGCTCCACTCTGGCAGCCCAGTTGTGGGTCTTGGGTGCATATCTATACCTCTTGTCAGTGGCCATGCTGTGGTGGTGTCCCATATACAAAATAGGGGAAGATTGGCACAGGTGTTAGCTCAGGGCGAATCTTCCTCAGTAAAAAAAATCTATATATTAATTCAGTAACTCTGTGGTGGGAACTGGGAAGATTTATGTTACAAACCTTCCCAGGTGGTTTTTAATATGCAGCTGCATTTGGGATCCACCATGCTGAATCACACACTGTCTCCTCTATGAAGGTACAGAAGAGAAAATTTTTCAGTCCATAGGACACAGGAAATGCTACGTTTCTCCAAAGCAGTTGCTATGTTTTGATCCTGTGGACATTACAAATCTTATAAATGATTGCTTTTGCATTTTTGATTTTCACTGTTAGTAAGCTCAGAGGCAATGTTGACAAGCATTAGCTTTTTTTTAAGGATTTTCCAGAAGACATTTTTATATCTTTCTCTATATTTTTTACTCTGGCTTTATTTTAACATTCTTCTCATTATTTTTTTCACTCTGATGTCTCTCTTTTCACTTACTTTATTTTTTATGGTATTTAAAATATTTTTTGAAGTCATAATCACTTTTAGTATAAAACATAATATAAATAAATATAATAACTGTAGCAAAAAGACTGTCATATGAGTCATTAGTAGAGCTATTTTAGGGAGTGTTACTTAGTAATCCTGAATTAACTGCTGATGAACTTAGAACTTTCTTTTCCATATGCAATTCTTCAATGACAGTAAACTAAAGTTAGGAAAAAGAACCATGGTCATATAGTATATGGAATGATACATTCCGTATCCCATTTTAGGAGTTTTACAGTGCACATTACAGCTTCAAGACTCTGAAAAGACTGGTCATAAAGATATTTAAAAATCTTAGCCTAACACTTTCCAAACTTTTTAAAAACCAAACACCATCCCTTTCTCCTCCCAGAGCACCGTTAACATTTCCAGAACAGTATTTTATTTAGGAGATACTGTGTTATTGCTATGTTTGTAAGTGTTGTACATCAATATGAATGAAACAAGGAAAGCTATTGTGTTAGGTGAGCAGAAACGGTTAAGCATAGCTGGTAGAAATAAGCTGAGCTAAGTGAGTAAACTTTAGGTAAAGTGTCCTGGTCAATTGGCACTTGTGAAGGAACAGATGTAATAAGGAGAAGAAAACGTTATAGGATATTTGTATTCTTGCAATTGCAGAAAGAAAAGCACACATTTGAAGTACAACCAAGTGAAGCTGAAATCCTAGCTGAGCTGAACTATGGTTCAGTCTCCTGGTGCTCACGGCATTGCACTAAGGTGTTGTGCAAATAAAGTGAATAGTTGAAGTGGAGTAACATCCAACGGTAGGGGGAGAGTCTGTGTGGGGAGAAGTAGGGAGAAATTTAGGCGAGTTTATGTGTCAGAGGATAAAAGCATAAGGAGAAGAATTTGTGTATGTATGAAAGAATTAAGAGAAGAATTTGTGTATGTATGAAATAACTACAATCATTTTGAAGGCATGAGGTCTCCCTAGGTTTTGCAGACAGGTTGTACCTCCTGACAACCTTTGTCAGAGCATGAATAAATGAAATGTTTTGTGTGCCCCGTTCTACCTTAATTTTCCTATCTATTTTACCAGGGGGAACAGGGAGAAATAGTTCATTCTAGAGAAATTTTGCTCTGTTGAAGGAAATGTTTTATGTGACCTCCTATTAATTGGCCACTTAGTCACTCCAACTCTCAGTCTACTTTAAATCATGTTAAACATTGCCCTTTCCTTTGAATGAACAGAAATTAAAGAGAGGTGGTGCGAAACTGATTTAATACAATCCAGTTTGGAAACATCAAATGTGTGAAGGTATGATCTAAATTGTCCATAGAAATAAACGTTGAGTCCAGCACCTAAATAATTCAGGGAGGACCTAATGAGAGATGGGCATGAACTTAGAAAACCTGAGACAGTCTGCCCAGAGGAAACTGTTGATGGGAGGGACTCAATAGTTACTGTAAGAAGATGCTATATTTTCATCAGGTCAATAGGAGCAAGACCAGTCAATGGAGACTCTGGGGCCCAGAGAAGTGAGTGGGCTGAAATAGTTTTAGTAATCACTTGCAAGGCAATTTAAACTATTAACATCTCAAGAAGGTCAATTCCATGGTTTCTGTTGCATCATCAAGTTGATCACCTGAGCCCATTCTCCTTTCTAGGTGGCCATGTTTATTAACTGGGAATCTTCTCTGTCAATCTTTCCTTTCTGGAGAAAATCTACTTCTTTTATCTCTATCAACTTATCTCTGTTTAAATTAAATTTTTGGTAAAATCTTATCCAAATTGTATTTTTTTAATACAAATATCTGGCTTTGCTTTTATTGGGCATGGAATTCTTTATAATAAAGTTTCTTCTTTTTCATTTATTCATTTATTCAGCATATGGTTTTCAGGAAATGTCATGGGAAACTTACACAATAAAAAACAAGACATTTTTCTCATTTTACGCATATTCCTTAGCTTCTTCTAATTTATGTTTCAGATGTTTCCTGTGCCACTTTAAACTATTTTGGTATTTTTCTAAGAATAGAGATTTAACATAATATTTAGGTAGATCAAACAAAACATTTTTGTATCTTTTTCTTTTTGGTGAGAACATTTAAGTTACTCTCTCTGCAAATTTCCATTGCACAAAGCAGTGTTATCAACTATAGTCACCATGTTATACATTAGATACTCAGAATTATTCATCTTACAACTGAAAGTTTGTACCCTTTTACCAACCTCTCCTTAGTTCCTCAATGCCCCCACCCCCAATGCCCCGGAAACCACTTTTCTATTCTCTCCTTTTTTTTTTTTTGTAGATTCCACATGTAAGTGATGCCATGTGGTATTTGTCTTTCTCTGTCTGGCTTATTTCACTTAGCGTAATGCCTTCCAGGTTCATTCACCTCGTTGAAAATGATAGGCTTTCCTCCTTTTTTAAGGCTGAATAATGTTCCATTTTATATGTCACATTTTCTTTATTCATTCATCCATTGAATTACGCAGATTACTTTCATACCTCGGCGATTATGGATAATGCTGCTATGAACTTGGGAGTGCAGATATCTCTTTGAAATAATGATTTCATTTGTTTTGACTATATGCCCAGAAGTGGAATTGCTGTATCATAGGGTATTTCTATTTTTAATTTCCTGAAGAACCTCCATACTCTTTTCCATCGTGGCTGCACCAGTTTGCATTCCAACCAACAGTACATAAGGGTTCCGTTTTCTCCACATGCTTGCCAACACTTGTTTTTCTTGTCTTTTTGATAAGAGCCATCCTAACAGATGGGGGGGGATATCTCACTATGGTTTTGATTTGCATTTCCCTGATGATTAGTGATGTTGGGCACCTTTTCATGTACCTATTGGTCATTTGTATATCTTTTTGGGGAAAATCTCTGTTCAAGACCTTTGCACATTTTTTAATTGGATTATTTGGTTTTGTGCTATTGAGTTGTATGAATTTCCTGTGTATTTGGGATATAAACCTCTTATCAGATATGTGGTTTTCTAATATTTTTCCTATACTGTCAGTTGTCTTTTCATTTTATTGATGGGTTCTTTTGCTGTGCAGAAGCTTTTTAGTTTGATGCAGTCCTACTTGTTTATTTTTGCTTTTGTTGCCTTTGCTTTTGGTGTCAAATACAAAAAGTCATTGCCAAGACTAATTTCAAGTTGCTTATCCCTATATATTCTTTTAGGAGTTCCACAGTTTCAGGTCTTACGTTCAAGTATTTAATCTATTTTGAGTTGATTTTTTATTTTTATTTCGGGTAAGATAGTGGCCCAGTTTCATTCTTTTGCATGTGTCTACCAACATCATTTATTGAAGATACATCTTTTTCTTATTGTATATTCTTGGCTCCTTTGTCAAAAATCAATTGACCATATGTGCATGGGTTTATTTCTGGTCTTTCTATTCTGTTCCATGGACCTGTGTGTCTGTTTTTATGGCATTACCATAGTGTTTTCATTAATATATCTTTGTAATATGGTTTGAAATCAAGAAGTGTGATGCCTCCAGCTTTGCTCTTTTTTCTTAAGACTGCTTTGGTTATTCAGGGTCTTTTGTGGTTCCATACAAACTTTAGGATTATTTTTTTCTCTTTCTGTGGAAAATGCCATAGGAATTTTGATAAGGATTGCACTGAATCTGTAGATTGTCTTGGATTGTAAGGACGTGTAAACAATATTAACTCTTTCAATCCATGAACATAGAATATTTTTCCATTTATTTGTGTCCTCTTCAATTTCTTATATCAATATCTTATAGTTTTCAGTATACAGATCTTTCTCCTTCTTGGTTAATTTATTCCTAAAGATTTTGTTCTTTTTGATGGGATTGTTTTCTTAATTTATTTTTCTGGCAGTTTGTTGTTGGTGTATAGAAATGCAACTGATTTTTGTAGCTTGATCTAACATGCTACAAGTTTACCGAAATCATGTATTAGTTCTAATAGTTTTTTGTGGGTCTTTAGGGTTTTCTATATATAATATCATGTCATCTGCAAACAGAGACAGTTTTACTTCTTATTTCCTGACTTGGATGCCTTTTATTCCTTTATCTTGCCTATTTACTCTGGCTAGGACTTCCAGCACTATTATGAATGAAAGCGGTGAGACTGGACATCCTTGTCTTGTTCCTGATTTGAGAAGAGGGGAGCTCAGGAGGCTCCTGTGTCCCCATCTTCAAAACTGCATTCTTCTATATAAAGGAAAATTCACTCCTTGGAAAAACATTTTCTAATGAAATCTTCTTGGTTACCCTCCTACTAGCCTACCTCAAGCCATTCGTAATACCATTTAATATTTGTTAACCTAATGATTTTAATATGTAACTGGAATTACGTATAGTTCAGCTCTACAATTTAAGTAGGTAAGGGAAGAGGAAAGTTGAAGAGCTGAGTTGACTGATTGCTGAAGGATTTGTCCAGCTTGGGAGCCAGAGTTGTGGTGTTGCATTAACTGCCTTAGCAGTATGATGCTATTTCTTCCCTGTCTGTTACACATTCAGAAAAAAAGCAGAAGCCGTAAGATAGGGAATGCGAGGTAAGGTGGTGTTATGGAGAGAGAAATGGCCTGACCCAGTTTCCAATGGTAATAGTAGGAAATAGCAGTTGAGTGCCTCAAAAATTTCAGGATATTATGGCATGTTGCTGTATCTTAGCTCATTTAATCTTCACAAGGACCCTTTCAAATGATACTATTATCCCTACTTTATAGAAAACTGAGGCCCAGAGGTTAACTTTCTTAAGGCCACACACAGTGAGCGAAAGGATTCTAATTCAGATCCAGAAGTTACATTGACTCTAACTCTACTCGTATTTTTCCTACTTCCTTTCTTTGCAGATGTCAGGTAAGAAGCGAGGTCAAATAACTATGCAGCAGTGTGATGACTGTATTGGTCATGAAAGGTTAAGTTGTAATAAAATTAGCAGAAATTCTCCAAATAGCAATATTTAAAATAACAAAGACTTGTTTCTTTTTACCCTACAGATCCAACAAGGGTCAACTGAGACTTTTACTCCATGTCTCCATGGTCCTCCTCAGAAACTCAGGTTGAGGGGCTCCATGTCACTTCCAACTCAGTGAAAAATCAATGGGAGGAACAAGTATCCTGACCCATAGTGCTCAGTCGTGGGCCCAGGTGACAAGCTACATGTCACTTTCACTCCCAACTCAATGGAGAGAACCAGTTGCACGGCTCCACCCAACAACAGGGAAAGCAAGAACCACAATCCTACAGGTGCCTGGAAGGAAACAAGAAACGGATAGGGTCACGCAGTGGAATGACAACCACAGTGCTGCTGGCATTGGTTTCCCCTCACCAGCGTGACAAAACTTTCCTCTTCACTGTTTTCAGTTTCCCCTCCCATCAGTTACTGAGTACTTTTAGCTTGAGCTGTGTATAACTTTCTTTCCCATCATGGATTGTCCTACTCTCTGTCCCACCTCTAGCTACCTGTGTGCCCGTGGCCGAATTCCCTGACCACTCTAGGCCAAGTTTTATCAACCATAAAATAAGTACTTGGATTAGGAGATCTTTAAGAGACTGGCCAAATGAAAATTTATATGATTTCATGAAAAGGCAAAATAAATCCTTCTTTGATTATTTTGCACAGACCAGGCAGGTAACAAAGGCTAGATATGGCTGTGGAGACATAATTCACCAATGGAGAGATAAGGAGCTGAGGGGTACTGGTGCTGAGCAAGGATAGAGATTAAGGATAAAACACTGAGGGATACCTTAGGCTCCAATCCAAGAATTCTAAGACAGGTAGGAAATAGTGAGGAAATGATCAAATCTAGGATCCTCTGACTTTATTTTTTGTTGGTTGTTTAGTGTTTACTTAAGGTAAGCCATTTCATATGTATGTATGTGTATAAATATATATATATATATATATATTTTTTTTTAAGGGAAAGACATTCAATGATTAACTTCACAGTTCAAGCAGAGAGCCTCTTTTTGAGGTGTCAGTAAAAAATATGAGGGCTTATGTCTTTTGGTTTGCACAGTATGATCATGATTGTTACAAATATCTTTCACCTAGTACCAAGATAACCACACTACAGCATGAGAATTTTGAAAGTTGAATAACCTCCCATCAGAAAAACCACAGAGATAAGTGACAGCAGTTGTCTTAATAAGACACATTTCCAAGAATTCAGACCACTCTCATTGTTATAACCTGCATTTTTAACTATGTACATCCTTCTCAAATTATGGCTTCCTAGACTAAACACATTGGTTCAAATACTTGAGTACATGGATTCAGCAAAGCAAGGAAAAGCTAGAGCAAATAAATGGGCCTGATATGCCACAACCAGGGCAGTGCTCTTTAGACAAAGGCTCATCATTGGTGATTAAAACAGAGGGGGGAACAGCTTCCAGGCCCTGCAAAATGGCTCTAGACACAAGCAAAGAAAAGGCTCCACTTATGCACGTTTATCTGTTTAGATCTCCTCACCAGTCTCCCTTCTCTGCCTCCTTACAGAGTAATTTTGCTAATCAGCCACCAGTCACAAGGAAACTGCCAGACAGGAGAGCTTACATAAGGACATCAAAGGTGAGAAATGGAGAGAGATTTCTGATGCCAGATCTTGAGAGTCTGGGTCCAGATCTGTGCTAAGGCTCGAAGCTGTTTTGTACTTCTTTTCCAAAATTGCTCCTCTTTCTACTTCTCTCCAATTCTTGCTTTCTTGCAAGTCCAAGCAAAATTTTAATTTTTTTAAGAAGGATCGTAGCCTGATGTCAGAAGGAAAAACATGAGCTCTGTGATGGATAGTTTTATATGTTCACTTGGGTAGGCTATGGCTCCCAGTTATTTAATCAAACACACATCTAGGTGTTACTGTGAAGGTATTTTGTAGATGTGGTTAGCATCTACAATCAGTTGACTTTAAGTGAAGGAGATTACCCTAGATAATGTGGGTGGACCTCACATAATCAGTTGAAAGTCCTTAAGAGCAAAAACAGGTTTCCTGGAGGAGGAAGAAATTCTGCCTCAAGACTGCAACATCAGGTGCCAGCCCCATGGCCAGGTGGTTAAGTTCACATGTTCTGCTTTGGCAGGCCAGGATTCACCAGTTCCGATCCTGGGCATAGACTTACACACTGCTAATCAAGCCATGCTGTGGTGGCTTCCCACATGGAAGAACTAGAATGACTTATACAGCTATGTACTGGGGCTTTGGGCAGGAAAAAAATTAAAAAAGGGGAAGATTGGCTCAGGGCCAATCTTCAAAAAGGACTGCATCAGCTCCTGTCGTAGAGTTTCTAGCCTGCTGGTCCGCCCCACCCGTTTTGGACTTGCTTGCCCGAACACGTAAGCCAATTTCATTCTCTTCCTCTCTCACTAACTAGTCAGTGTTTCTGGGGAACCCTGGCTGATACAAGCTCTTTCAAGTTATCTGCATAGTGATGTGATTGACTAATAATTAAGCTTAAATAGGAGCATCAGTACCGTTTGTGAAATGGTACCAACTTTTTTGAAGAGAAAAATTTGCTTTCATGGTATAGCTCGAAGGATGGTGGTGCCTATTCCCACCTGTTCAAACTGGTTCTCACCTGGAGTGAAATTTGCACAATTAGAATTAGCCGCATCTATTGACGGAGTAATTGGAGTAATTATAGGTGTGATTTGGAGTTGAAAGCGACAGACACTACTGGCTCTCTCTTAAATGTAGGGGAAGACTTTCCAGGTCAAAACTAAAACCTTTCGAATCTTAGAACTAGAGATGGGAAAGAGATACCAGCTATTATTCGGTCCAACTTTCACGTTTCAAAGGTAATGAAATAGAGGCCCAGAGAAAGCTAAGTGTGCTGTGCAAGGACAAATTTATCAGAATAACATATATTTTAAAATTTGTTTCGTTGCTTGAAAATGTTTTAATATTTTTCTGTACTGCTAAATATTTTACTAAAGCACATTGTTTTGGCCTGGAAGTATTGCATCGGATGCATGTGCCAGAATTAAACTGAATACCTATTTGATGTGTTAATTTATGTTCATATTTTCACTTATAGACACTGTGATAAATATCCTTATCTGTAAGTCTTTGTACACATGTTTATCATTCCTGGGAATCAGTTTCAAGAAAAGGGAATTCTGGATCAAAGGATATTTGTGTTATGAAGCCTTTGATCCCAGTTATCAAATTGTCCTCCAGAGAGATCTTACCAGTTTCTGATACTCAGTGATAGTTGAAAGCACCTGTTTCTGGCCCCCTCATCCACACTGGATATTTTCATTAACAAACAAATACAATGGAAATGGAGTCTTGTCTTCATTCACATTACTGTATTTATTAGCAAGGTTGAACATTTTTTCTAATTCTATTGGCCATTGTACTCTCTTTATGCGTTTTTAATATCCCTTCCCCACTACTTTATTGGAGTTTATATTTTATTGCTTTGTAGAAATTTTTTAAAACAATGAAATAGAGTCCACAAAACAATCCCTCCATAAAGGGTAGGTGTTATTATTATTACTGTTATTATTTTGTTGTGGTTGTTGGTATTATTTTGTTTGTTGCTGGGCGCTGTCTTATACTTAGGAAGAAAATGCTAAGGGGGCACTGCTTGGCGGCAAATAGCCTCTGTTAGGTAAAATGTGTCTCCATCTCATTGGGAAAAATTCATCAAAACATATCCCAATTATGCTGTTGATTTTAGAATCTTTCATCTGCATCCTTCAGGCAGGCTCTATTCTCCCTGGAATAAACTAAAATGTGCTTTACGCTTCAGGCACATATATAATGGCATGTAAACCACTGCACCTCTTTAGTTTCTTCTCTAACTAGGCACTGAGATTCTTTCTTTTCTTGGAAATTATGGGGATTGACCTCAGAGAATACATAAATTGCAAAGAGCCTCCTTTTTTATATAGCATTTTACATTATTCTTATTTTTTTCCCTCTAGAAAGTATAAAATTACATATCCTAAAATGGAGTCTGTGAAGCAGTTTTTTATCTTTTTAAATATTTAGCAGTACACGGTGTTTACTTTTTATGTTTCATTCTCGAATATTGTGTTTTATGGAGGACTATCAGAGGGTTTCCTTTTTCATTTTTATAGTAGGCCTCAAGTTTTTGTGGGCTTGTGTTCATTCATTTGCCTGCTGCCATGCTTAAACTCTTCCCCCAGGGCAGAAGTGGCATTTATGATCGGTCATCAAATCCTGCAGCTTTAGTGAGGAGGGTGGGAGATGACTTAGGGATGTTTGGAATAATCCATTGTGAGCAACAACTGAAAAATACTTATCAGACTCTTTCGCATGATTGGTTATGGAAAGTTTTACCTCCACAAATGAGTTAATGTATATATTAACTCATTTGATGAACACGGTTCCTGACACAGAGTAGATGCTCCAGAGATGTTAGTTGTCTTCTGTATCAATCAGAGTTCTCTAGAGAAATAGAACCAATAGAGCCAATAGAGAATAGGACCAAAAGTATGTGTATATATACATGCACACATATACAGGTAAAGAGACTTATTTTAAAGAATGGGGAATTGGCTCACCTGATTGTGGCAGCTGGCAAGTTTGGGGCAGGCCAGCAGACTAGAAACTCAGGTAAGAGTTGATGTTGAGGCCTTGAATCCGAAATCTGCAGGATGGGTCTCAGGCTAAAACCTCAGGCAGGATTTCTATGTTACAGTCTTGAGGCAGAACTCCTTCTTCACAAGGAAATCTAGTTTTTGCTCATAAGGCTTTCAACCAATTGGGTGAGTCTCATCCATATTATTAAAGGTATTCTCTTTTACCTAAAGCAACTGATTACAGATGTTAATCACATCAACAAAACCTCTTCACAGTTATCATCTAGACGAGTGTTTGACCAAACAAATGAACACCATAGCCCACAAGTTGACATGTAAAATTAACCATCGCACCTTCCTTTTCCCATGTGTGAAAGGGCATAGGGCTCTATCGGGAAGCCACCGATCCTGTCCTACCCATCTTGGTTTCATGAACTCACTGGATCCATTTAATAAACACAGGTGGCAAGAAGATTTGGGAACAGGATTGGGTGCCTTTTGGTGTAAGAGAAAGAAAAGGAGGTTTAGTGTTTGTTGGGAAAGTAAGGGCAGCAGAAGAAGAGGTAAGAGCATCCCAAAGATGATGCCAACACCTTCCTGGTTTGGCCTAGTTCTGTGCCATCACCTTTTTTGTTTGGCCTAGTTTTGTGTGTCTTTATGACTTTACAGTAGTAATGGAAGTGTTGGGGTGGAGGGAGAGCAGAAAAAGGATGGGTGTCCTCAGTACAGTGTTAGGGAACTTCCCTGCTACAAAATGGAGAGTGACATAGGCTGAGCGAAATAAGGTTTCCTGGATTCTCTGGAAGCATCCTCTATGAGTTTCCAAGAAATGCTCGGATTCTTCTTCAATATAGCAGTATAGACATGGACCAGGGTCCTCACTGAGTCCAGATTGAGGATGGGCAATGGAGACAGAATTGCTACACAGAAGAGAGTGAAATTCATTCTCCAAGTTGCGGAAGGAGAATGGGCTTGAATGAAACAAGAGTTCATCATGTGTTGGTAGTGAAGTTACTTAACCTTTCAGCTGCACTAAGTATTTAGACATGTAGGAGGATAATAATGTCAACCCCCAATGTATTTAATAGGGCAAATGAGTTAAAACTGTGATATGATTTTAAATTTATGTCAATCAGGAAATTCAAAGCACAGCACTATAATTAGAAACTCACAATTATCCGTAGAATATCCTTGTGGGCAAAATTAATGCATATTGAAAATTTTTAGCAGTTATTTTAATTCCCGATATAGCCTGGTTCAAATGAGTTGATTTCTCTATTCTGAGTATAATGGGCTACCTACATATAAGGTAAACTTCCTTTAGTGATGGAATTTTCTGTTACTTCAGAAATTTGGTGCCAATCTTTCTGCGTTCATGGTCAACAAATTAAATCAGAAAGCTACGAAGTGACATGGGGAGGTTTCTGAGGTACAGCTTGTTAATGAAGGACACTAAAGATGATTTTTGGAAACTGACTCGGCCGCTGACTTTATTAGATCCTGTCACTTTATTGTATCCTTTTGTAAGGGCTGTTTTGGTATTATGAACATATTATTTTTTATGTGGGCAGGTTAACTGTTTTCAGTCAGATAAGCAGAAACAAATCCAATAGCTGATTTTCAAGGAGGATTCTTTTAGGATTTGCTTTTGGGTAGGAAATGTATTTGCTAATACACTTGATTCGTTGCCTTTTGAAATACTTTCTTTTCAATGCTTATTTATTTTGAGCAACACAGAACACACGCACAGTAATCCCCTTCTTTTCAGTGGAGACTTTTCGCTCTTCAGGCCAAGAATCCTGAGACTCCAATAAGATTTCCCACATTGGTGTCAACAAACAATGGTACACTTGACTTAAATGTTTCCTGGGTTATTTACATAAGAGGCAATGATACAGTATGGTAATAATGAGGGAAATGAATTTTGGAAGCTCGAAAGTCACCTCCATAAGTCATCTATGGAACACTGAGCACTACATCTTTGCATTATTAGGCTGGTATTTGTTTAATGTGATTTTTCAGAAAAAGTTATCAGAAAAGCTTCCCCTGTAAGCAGCCATATGACCTCCAGGAGGCAGTTAAGAGAAATGTAATGGCACTACTTGATGTAGGTTATATCTTTGGCAGTGATCCATTTTTTTCCAGTCTTTATTCACTCGGGAGTAAAATTATTGCCTCATAAAACAAGAGGAATGTCCAGTTATTTCTTAAGTAGGATCCTATTAACTTTACCACTGTCACCAGTTCCTTCCACAACATTAAAATCTTTCAGCCTTGTGGCAGGGAGGATGCTACATACCCAGATTTAGTGATCCAAGGACAATTATTTTGAAAACATACATTTCCTTGAAAGACCCAATTTTGAAAGAACTAATTCTTAGAATGATGTTCCGATGAATCACTGTATTCATAACAGCATTTTTCTTAGAAGAGCTTTTGCCTACATCAAAACTACCAGCCAGGATATAAAAAAGTGAGTCAATGTTAAGGAAAATTTATTATTGAGAATGAGAGTTTGATTATTGAAATGTACTATAATGTTTCACCATAAAATCAGTGAATTAAAGTTTCATTTATTCGAAAAATCTGCATAATTGTCCTCGGTTTCTATCTGAATATTGCTCTTGTGTAGAATATCCCTTTAGGCCATACTGAGAGTCATAGTTCCCATTTCTGCTTGGTAGGCAAATAAAAATGTTATTCTTGCCCATGTGGTTTGAGTGGGAATGATTTGAACCCATTTGAGGAGATGTGATGGTTCCTACAGAAGAAGAGAGAGGGTCATTTAGACTGCTCCATTCGGCCTTGGTTATATATTGTCAAGAACTGGTCAGGGACTAAGATCAGACTTAATCAAGCATGATGTTAGTCTTCCATGCACATCATCTATTCCCTCTGGCTCTTAGGTTGAGCTTGTAATAACCAAACATTTGTATCATTTGCAAATTTGTTTGCATCCGTTTCTAATTGTTTCTTAGCTGAGATTCTTGCATTCAGCCAAATCTGAGCTATTCTTGGCCAAGCTGTAAGTAGCTGAACTTGGTTAGGCTGTAAGCCACAGTGTCTTAGCTAGCTTCCTTCAAGACCTGACTCAGAGACCAGGACTTTTGTGATTCTAGGAAGCATAAGTGAGTTGGTAAGGAGAGTCAGACAGGGAAGAGAGAAATGACAATAGAGTGTATGTTAAAGAACGATTTACCTCTTTGGGCACCTGGTGCTCAATTCTACTGGAAGCCTCCAAGAAACCAAGAGAAACAGTCTCAGAATTGTCCCCTGGAAGGGCAAGAACTGTTGCTCATTAGTGGAAGCTTGCCTGCAGGGGAGGAACTGCTCCATAGCACTGAGTTGTGTCTGCGGCCTGCTAAGTTTCCATGGGGCCAGAGAAAAGCCTCAGACAGAGAAGCAGGGAGACACAGGCTCTTGGGTGGGACACTATCTACAACGATTGTAGGTGGACTCAAAGATGAGCTGAGAATATGGGGAGGTGCGCGCAGAGTGTCTGCCACAAACAGGAAACTCAAAAATAACAGTGCTTTGGAAGAGCAGAGGGCTACATCTCTCACATAAAAGCTATCCGGAAGTAGGCAGTCCAGGACTTATTCTGGAGCCTTCACAATCCTCAGATGCCCAAGCTCTTCCCAGTCTGCTATTTTGCTATCTCTAAGGGGGGTTCGTCTTCAAAATCCAAATCACCGCTAAATCTCTGGTAATCATATCCATACTCCAGGTGGTAAAATCTAGGATGGGACCAAGAAGGCCTGTTCTTCCCTTTTAAAGAGATATTCTGAAAATGCAGTAAAATATTTCTATCTATATCTCATTAGTCAGAACTTAGTAACATGGCTACATCCAGGAATAAAATATTCTGAGAATATTTTGTATTGCATATAAATATTCAGAACATAACAAATATTATACTTATGTCATATATATTTATGTTATATAATATGTTAATTATGTACTAATTAATTATATTAATTAATATATAATTAACATATATTGATTATATATTAATAATTATATTAATTTATATATTATACATAACATAAAATAAAATATTCTGAGAATATTTTATATTATAAATATATATTCAGAGCATAACAATGATAATAAATATTTATGTAGTGCTTCTTATACATTGGGCCTGATGCTAAGTGTTTTATATAAATTAATTTACTTAACCTATATGATAACTGAGTAAGAGATTATATTCCTCATTTTATGGAGAAGGAAACAAATTTAGGGAAATTGAAACATGCCCAAGTTTTTCTTGGGAACAAGTGAGGGCAGCTGGCTGATCCTGGAGTCTGGCTGCTTGTGATATGATGCAGAAGACAGGGAGTACCACGTGTGAGAGATGGACAAGTGCTGCGGTGGTCCCACGTGCAGATGCAACTAGGGGCTGTAGGTGATGCTGGGGAAGTTCTTTGAAGGGGCCCTTCTAAAGTAGAATCCTCATCTCCACCTGAACAAATGGAGATGTAAATCTAAGCATGGCAAGTAGGGGCTAAAATATCTCTTTGTTATTGATAGAGGCCTGGAGGAGGTGGCTTTAGGTCGGTTAGCCAAACAAATTAGCTAAGAGAGTTAAGCAGACTCAGCCATCCAATCACAGCACACTGAGCCAGAGTAGGCCTCCCCCTTCCTATGGGATGGAGCATCTGGAGGAGCTGAGGAGAGTCTGCTCCCTCTAAGTCTGAGGCTCACAATTGGTAGAATGTTGATGGAACCAAGCTGAGCAAGCCTGTTACTTTTCCCAGATCTAATAATCAGGTCCCTCCATCTTCTCACGTGGTGGAGAGAATAAAATGGGCAGATAGCTTAGGAAAAATCCCTGTCCCTGGAATCCAGTGATGAGAAAAAGGTGTTCCCAGGTGAAGGCTACAAGGAAAGTTTTCTTGATCTTGCCTAGGCAGCTGGGGAGTCTTCACAGGTATAGATAGTCATCAACATTGAAGCTGACGCAACGGAGAAGTCATTTTTTTCATTATTTGTGAAAACTTTTTTTATGGGATTAATTTTGTATTGCTTGGGAGCAATACAAATTATTCAAATAATGTTAAGAGGCAACTAAGCGTGGGATTGTGTGTCAATGAGTGGCCACAGTTTGCAAATAAATGGATGCTTTGATAATACATTTAAGACATTACATTGCGAGTTATAGAAAAGACCAAAAAGCAAATCTCCCCCAAAAGAATCCAGCATATTTCTTGAAGAACTGACTCTTCTTTCAGTAAGAAAACTAGTAGATATCATCAAAGGAGTCCGTCTAAACAAAGAAATCAGGGCCAAATAGAGGAGAGGAGGATTTTAATCATTCTGCTTGATATGTTCAGCCTATGATGATATTCAGCAACAACTGATCGATAAGCTATTTTTCCTATTTCTTTAACTAGAGTTGAAATAAAAAACGAAGAAGAGTAAACATTTTCTAACTCTCCAGAAGAATAAAACCCACTGCCAATAAGTTCAGCCACCTTCAGATGTAATACACATACCTTTTTAGGGCTGCCTCCTCACCCTCCAATATTTCAGGTCTGCAAAGGCAAACCAGAATGGAGACTTGAGGCACTTATCCAGAAAAATGAGGCAAAAAAATCATGTTTCCCCAAAAATTGGTTATGGAAATTAAAATTTATTATTGGCCCTGCTCTAGACAGCGGACTGATTGAGCATTCACTTTGTGGGTTTAGAGCTGGCTCTGGCTTCTCCTGGAGAACATCTCCTTGTTGGGCAGGTGTAAAAGTAGAGTTTTAAATTTGTTGTATGTCAAGTTGAGATTCTCAGATTATTTTTTCGATTAATTCCTCTTCTCTAGCACATTTTGCCAATAGAATGTGATGATGAGGTTTAGTCATTTTATTTGATAGTTCTAAATAGCTGATCTAAATAATTCCACTCCAAACAAATTCTGAGGGCTTTTTAATTTTGTGTTTGAAATGTTTGGTTGGTATGTTAACCTAGCTTAAATAAATTAGACAGCTAACAAGCTTCTCCTTGTCTCTGCACTGAATAGATACAATGTTATAGGATGATAAATAATAGTTCATGCTTGAAATAGATTTTTGTTTTGTTTGCTTTTCATTTATCCAGGTAATTTAAGGAAAATAAAATCTCTCTCTTTCTCTCCTCTTCGCCCCCTTTTCTTAAAAGGAGCCGTCTGGATTATACTGGCGGGTTGAAAATATGTACTGAACTCTTAAAAGTTTCCAGAAAGTCATTTGAAGTCAAGATACTGGGGAATTCTCACTTTTTTATAAATGTTGATTTTTTTGTTTCTTTTGAGCTTCTTTAATAAACGTCTGTTAGTTTTTTCTTTAAAATATGTTTTTCTTAGAGCTACATCATTAAAAAACCTCTTGAAATTATGGTTCTATGGTTACTTTGTTACTCATTCATTTCTACAAGTTTGAGATGCTCTATACATGTTTTTTGCTAAATAAAAATAATCTTTTGCTTCAGTCTGTGACAATGAAAACAGAGAATTCTCTGGCAGCAATATTACCAACATAGACTTTATATAACTGCTTTTCTGCTTGCTCTCAGTATTATCAGGACTGGTATCCACTGGGTTTAGTAAATTTTGAACTTTATAATATAAATCCCATCTTTTTTACTCAGGACCAATTTCTCTGTTCTTTGGATTACTGGTTTTGGAAGCTTGGAGTGAAAAATGCTCTTAAAAGTAGGGCTGTTTCAACTGGAAATGTTGGTTTTATGTATGCTCTTAGCATTCCCTAATGACTTTTAGCAGAAGGATTTGAAAGCAAGTGAAAAGATTGAAGTGGCTTTTACCTATGTGGTTTGGGGTGGAGTGTCTTCCAAACACAAGTGTCTTTCTCCCTCTGAATGTGGATTCAGTGCTGATGAAAGAGGTCATGCAGATAGCAGTTGGCCCTGTAAAAAGTTTTCTGGAGAATAGATGATGTATGGGTAGAAATTCCACCCCTTATCTTCTGATTTACCCTGAATTTAAAAGATTCCCACTTCGTTGACCAAAGGAGCAGTTTTTTGAGAGTGACCACAGATTCTTGAAAACCTCAGCTAAAGCTTTCAGAAAATAAGTGCGATGCTTGAAAATGATGGTAGAAAGCAACAGCCTTCTGAACTTCCAGAGCTAGACACCCTCAGAATTTTACTATATATAGGAATAAATGTATTTCCTTAAAATGTGTGCTAAATATATTCAAAATATACTGTTAACATATATATATATACACACACACACATATACACTTGTTATTTTGAATGAGCAAGTAGTTAGTCAAATATCTCAGAAAAACTTTGATTTAAAGCATTTTCATGTTTGCAACACAGTCTGAAAGTCATGGTGACCTTAGTTTAGAAAATTAAAAAATAGTCAAGAGCCCTTATCTTCCCACTTTGAAAATGTTTGTGGTTAAGTTGATCTGAGTACCTAGAAGTGATGTTCTCAGCATTTCAATGGTATTTCCAAACACATGCAGGTTTTTGTTTCTTCTGTGCATTCTTTTGTCTTTTGTACTAACAGTGGAACTTATGCTCCCAAATTGTTCATTATGTTCTTCTGTTGGGATTTGTATGACAACTAATTACTTGTTTCTGAAAACAAAGGGACATTTGCATAAGGAAAGTGGGGACCTAGTAAAATCCCTAGGACATATCTTTTACATATATCATTCCATGTCTGACAGAGTCTGTAGCTGTTATTCTTTATAAGATATTCGAGGCTATACGGGTGGGTCAACACCCCTGGCTGGAAGTGGGGGATGATAGAGGTTTGGCCTGGAATACAAAGCATGAAGCTTAAATGTTGATTTCCTCATTAAAATGGTTTCTGGCTAGTACTTTCTCCAAAATTTTTGTTAAAATAGCTGTACAGACATTGGGAAAGGTGAAATCCACAATAACATTAAGAACTAAGACTCACAATTGCCAGAACCTTGGGGAAAATTCCACTGAAGGCCAAACAGGTACAACTCTGTTGAAAACCATATTCGGTGACAGAATGGATAAAGTGATTAAGAACATAGACAAAACCTGGCACTGTCACAAGACACAAGCCCTGTCTTGCTGTGTGCCTTAGGCAGTTTACTTAACCTCTTGAAACAGACTCAGTTTCTTCATCTGTAAAATGGAGATCCTAATAGACTGTCCTTTATGAGCTTACTATGAGGTTTATATGAATTAATACATCAGTGGACAATGCCTGGAACATGGTAAGCCACAGAAAATGTTAGCTATTATTATTCAATGGCCCAACTATACTGTGTCTTCTTGACATTGGGTGGCAATACCCTTTATCACTGTCTTCTTGTTCAATGGAAAAGAGCCAAATCTATCAGAAACCCAAGAAGGCACTTATGTATCACATTGTCTTTCTGAAGCAGTCACTATGTTCCCTGCTCCCAAATGTGTACAGCTCAGCAAAACTCTGTTTTGGCACAAGACAAAATGAACCTCTCTTGACAGTATTGATTTCTGTTGTTTTACCACTAGGTTATGCCCACTGGGACTCTTATGAATGTCTCTATTCCTATTATTTCTTCATCACACAGGCATCTTTTATAATAATTCTATAACCAAGCTCTGGAAAGTCCCCATTGTACCTGAGGGGAACTGAAGTTCAATATACACGGTAAATTAGTGCCAGAATTGGGAAAAGAACTTGACTCAGAGTTCAGATATCTCTTCAGAATGTTGACCTTAAAGGAATGTCAAGCTTCACCCTTCCTCTCTATTATTTTTGGTGCCTTTCAATACAATCACGTTGAATATCTTTAGGTGAGTTAGCAATATATCCATTTAAATCTTTCTTTCTATCTCCCTATATGTCCATCCATCCATCCTATTTTTCACCTTTCTTTAGGAATGCAATAAGGGAGTGGGTGCTCTACTTATGTAAGGGAAGTAAGTTATAAAGAAAAGATAACTCATTATGAAATGTAAATTCTGCTTCTGTATTTGGACTGTCTTGAGTTTGACTGATTTTTATCTACCATGGCTCTAAACAGCTGTGCTCCAACTTGAATCTCCTTGACATTAACATGCATATATGTTTTTATTTACTCCCTTGACGTAAAATATATGTTGTCAATAAGGTATAGCTAGCAAGAGGTTAAAATTAAGATGGAAATGGTTACACACGCTTAGATTTTTTCATATAGATAAATTTATTTTTTCCGTCTGTTTCTTATTGATCCATCATATCTTCTTTTCTCTCCAGATAACTGTCCAATAGAGCAAAGTTTCCTTTGCTTCCTGAACCATCCTCCCAGCAGAACAAAGTTCGTTCTTGAAGACAGATCTGTTAGCGCTCCCATGAGTGAGCTTGGAGCTGTTAACTCAAGAAGGACTGTGTTACAATGAATTTGTAACAAATTAGACATCAGCATAGATTAAATATCAGATGAGCTGGTTGTGCCCCATTATCAGTTGTCAACTCAGCACTATCTCTGCTCCTCTTCTGTGCTCTGCTTTTTTTGCAGGAGTTTAAAGTCTATTAACTATGTTTTTTCAGAATCTCTTGCCAGTAGGGTTCTAGGTTAGATTTTGCCAATAAGAGCCACTAGTGAAAGACTTTTAAAAGTAGGAGAGAGGCAGAAAGTATCCTATTGCTCCTCAGGTAGCAGAGGACTGGCAGGTAGGATTCAGATAATGCCTCTGGGCCTTTCTCTATGAGCCACTTAGTTTATTGCTGCAGGCAGCTGTTTCCCTTGCTAGTAATTTCTTGTTTTCCTGACTCTGAAAGCCAGCAACAAGCCTGAGAACTAGAAGCAGTTTTTCCAGACATTCACACTTTCACCCTTTTCATCACGCATTTCCCTTTATTGAATCTCTTCTTTCTTGAAAAGCTTAAATTATTCTCTGCTTTCCTGACCAAATTTTCATGCTAGGCTGAAATTAACCAAGGTTAATTCACTACAGCTTTTTTCAAGACACGTCAGCTGTCTGGCTTCTCATTTTTAAATTGAGAAGATGGGGTTGCATGATCTTTTTTATAGAATTTTGATTCTAGCTGGAATGCACTCCAGAAAGATGTTTCCTAGGAAGAAAGAGATGAGAGATAGGTCTGTACCAGTGGATAACTGTCTAGATACGCTTATAAGGGAGTTTTATTTGGCTTACCCAGTCTGAGTATCGAAAAATATTGATGCAACACTTAAAGATTTCATTTTATCTAAAAATCTGGAGTTCTGGATCGTCTTTAAAAGTCAGAAAATCCAACAACACTGGGCCTGTGTTCCTCCATGCCAGCAGTTGACTGGAGCCATTGCATGGCCTCCTTATTCATGCCGGGTGTGTGCTCCCCGAGTCTCCACATCCTCATCTTGTCCTGTTGTGTTCCAAGGCTGGGTCAATTGTCATGTATCATCATACAGGTGCATGTTTTTGCCTTATAGTAGAGAGTTATTGTTTTGAACTCACGTTTCTACCAAAAGTGGTAAAATTAAGGATGGAGAGGGCAATGTGTTCCAAAAAAAGTGAGAAAGAGCATGGTGTTTTTATGCAGAATATTTCTACCTATTTACTTGGAAATTCCCCACCCAATTCACTCATTTCCTTCATTTGGCTGTCTCCCATAAGTATTTAAGCTTATGAGCCCTGGTTTAGTCTCTAGCTCTGTTTTTCCCACCTTATTTTGGTCACAAAGACTTTGAAGAATATCATGAGAACTATGGGATGCTTCCCTAGGAAAAAAGTGCAAGAACACAAACATATAATATTCTGATCACAGGTTTCTTTGGAGTCTTGCAGATAACTAAGTTTAATAAGAGGCTTTGCTCCAGAGACACACTTCTTGAGAAAATGAAGATTCGGATTCATTAAGTCTGGGAGGTGTCTGACATTCTGCATTTCTAAGAAACTCTGGTCTTAGTGTTTTGGTTTGGGGGCTGCACTTTGAGCAGTAAGGTTCCAGTGGTTCTTAAATTTTCTGTGGACTTTAGAATCCCCTGGAGACATCTTTAAATAAAGATCGATGCCCAGGCAATGGTATTTTTAAGAAGCTCCCATCTGTGAGGTTTGAAACGTCTGCTCTACATCAAAAGTCATTTACTGAAATAAACAGAGACAGGTAGTGAGGGATATGAGAGGAGTCTAGGCATCAGGTGGATGTTGAAATGGAGACAAGTGGTGCCAACAAGCAGGTAGGACATTGCCAATGACTAACAAGTTTGTTTGTCTGAGACTGACCAAATCCTTTTTTGCTGCAGTGAAACAGCAGTACCCTAATGCCCCAAAGACATTTTCTAATCATCTGCTCTCATTGGAATCACACAGATTGCTTAGCAGAGGCTACTGATCTTGGCCCCCCCCCCCCCCCGTGTCCCCCCGCCTCGTTGGTTGGTTTCAAAGCAGACCATGAATTAGGGGAAGAAAGCAGAGTTTGGTAGAAAAGAATTTTCTAGTCGTTTATCATTTCCAAGGAAGTATTTTCCTCTTATGATGTGGCCATTCCTAAGCCACCAAAGAGCCACAAAA